TTGCTTCTTCTCAGAGGGTTTTCTGATTTTTTTTTAAGTGGGATGCGGAAAGAAGTGTTTTTAGATGATTTAATACAAAGCTTATTCATCCATTCACTAGAATTATATGAATGTCAGGGGTATAGTCACATTTCCCATTTTCTCTGTGGCAATATTTTCTCCCAAGGTCTGATAAATTGATAAATATATATTCTAAAATATCTTATAGACTATGTGTATATTATGTATATGCAAGGGGGGATGTGCATGTATGTGTGTTTCCACTGATCCAAGTTTTCTCTTTCTTTGCTTAGCATTACAAACAAGTAATATTGCCAGGTAAGACTCTTAAAAGTATTTTTTAGATTATGATGCTGAGTCAGAAATTACCTCCTAAACTAGGACATCATGTTTTATAAGGCAGAATAATAAACTATTTTTCTGAAGAAGCCACTAATAATCTTAATAATTGTTTATAATACACATTTGCACATAATTTCCAGGAAGGGGAAGTTACTTTGTAGCCAAGATTCCAATACATATTTCAGATGTGTGTCACCATATTCAGTTTATCACTTAATATGATTTATAACCAAGACAAAAATGCCAAATTCTCCCACCCCAAAAGACCTATTACAAGATCTAATCCAAACCAGAATCTCCTAGAAATGGAGTCAAAAAGATAGAAAGATAAAGATATCAAATTTTATGGTATCTAGAATTTTACTATATGTTGCCAGAAAAATAGTGATAGATGGAAAACTGGAGTTCTTTTTTATGTAAAGATGCATCTGTTTTAATATGATGTTATTGTATTTTACACATGTTTTGAAGTAAGTCCAACCACTCATTTTATATAAACTGTGTTGTGTACGTATCAAATATGGTGTCATGAAGTCTGTGGATGTTGCAGCTGTTTACACCAAACTATTTTTGCTTATATGAGATATCTAATGTAGTCAACTCAAAAGGAAGCAGAAAGTGGAGTGGTAGTTGCCACAGGCTGGAGAAACAGGGGAACCAACAATGATTGTTTAATCGGTGCAGAGTTTCAGTTTTCCAGGAGAAAAGAGTTCTGGGGGTGGATGGTAGTGCTGGCTAGACAGTAATATGAGTGTACTTAATATCACTGGACTGTATACTTGAAATGGTACAATTTATGTTAAAATGGTGAATAAATGAAATGTGTCATGAAATCTGCGGGCATTCCAGCTTTTAATTACATATTATGTTGCCTTCATAGGTCCTAGAAATCAAAAAATATATGTAACTATTAGCAAACAAAAAAGGTGACATTTGCAGCTAAACCAAAAAAAAAACATGTTAAAATGGGTCATGGTGACCCCTAAACTGAGAAGCCCTAACTGGCTCCAGAGCTGATTTGGGGGTGCTAGCTGCTCTGATGACCATGAGGTTTTCCTCCATAGACCTCGTCTTTGACCATTACTATTAGCCTTCCCTTTTCACTGATAAACCCCTGCACGCAGTGGCCTTGTGCACAATCTACTATTTAAGGGACTAAAATTATCATAAGGTGGTCTCAGGGACACTCAGTTCAAAGCCTTTATTGCATGACTGAGTTTGAGCTCACTACTCATCACTATGTCTGTCTCTGATGATCTATTACACTTTTTGCATCAACTTGGGTGAAGTAAGAGAAACATTAGGACTCCAACATACAGGTCAGTCAAGAGTGGGGAGTGGCCTGGGATCATAGACCTGGGTCTTGAGCCTACCCCTGGCCAAAGTAGAGGATGAGAGAAAAGGAGGGGAATTTAGGGTGACAGCAAAAGTCCAGCTGGCTCACTAGGCCACTCCAGGCTGTGAAAAAGAGAAATCCAGAAGTTATAGAACCCTTGGATTCAACGTGGCTCAACTGACGACTAGCCTGGTGTGACAGGGATGGAGTTGGGATGAGCAGAGTAACATTAGTGTCCCATAGCTTATACCAAAAGGCTGGATGAAGTTTGAGAGCTCTGTATGTGCATTTTTGTGAACATTCTAAACAATAGTTTTTAAACCTCACCTGGGTGTGATATTTACCCTGTTTATGTATCAAATAAGACACTTTTACTCTTGTTTTTATTATTCTACCTCTGTGTTTTTTCCCACTGTTATTCTTTAAAAGCTAGGTGAGTTTTTGGCCATCTCTCCATAGGATTGACTTTATGATCCAATATAAACATGCTTTAACCTTTTAAAGCAATCTATTCCCAAAGCCGGTCAGCATTTTTTTTTTTAACAAATCTATTCTTTCATCTTTGACTTACCTATTGCTATGTAAAAAACTACCATAAAATTTAGCCAACTTAAAACAACAATAAGCAATTATTTCTCAAGATTATACAGCCTGGCTGGTCTTAGTCAGGAGGTTCCCACATGGTATCAGGTGGGGTCACTCATGTGGTGTACTCAGCTAGGAGCTTAGCTGAGGCAGGGGCAGGCAAGATGACTTCACTCTCACGTGCAGTGCTTCAGCTGGGTTTCTGTAATCATTTGAACCTAACTAGGGCTCTCTTTCTCACTCCATGTAGTTTCTTGTCATTGAGTAACCTAGTGTGAGTTGCTTTCTGTGGTGACTGGATCGCAAGACCATGGATACTGAAGCTTCAAGGCCCAGAAGTTACACAGCATCCCTTCCATAGATAGCAGTCTATATGGGTCAAAACTAGTCCCAGGCCCTGCCTAGGGTTCAAAAGGAAGAAATACAGACTCCACCTCTTAATGGTAAAGTGGTATGAATTTACAGGAATGGGAATAATTATTGTGACCATACAAGATTGGGAAGAATTGTTGAGGACTACTCCATATACAGAAAACTGATGCCGAATGGAATATTCTGCTTGAGAATGGGTTCAGTTGAAGGTCTAAGGCTTTCATCAAGTTTTATATTTAACAGTATTATGTAACTCTTATATGGAAATAGTATAAGTTATAGTTTTATAAAAAACCCTTCATGCCTTGAAGAGAAAAATGAAGTTGTAAGTATACACAGGGCGGGTAGGGGACTTTGAGGTTGGGCATGCAGGTTTGAATCTTGGCTCTGCCAGGCACTAGCAGTAGAATCTTGGGCAACTTTCCCTTACAGTCTGGCACTTCTCTGCTCTGAATTTATAGTGTTGTTTGAGGACTAAATGAGTCAATATATGTAAAGTGCTTAGCAAAGAGCCTGGCACACAATAAATATAAAATAAATATTGGCCTTAAAAATGTACATTATCATTACCTATTATTTTGTAACAGCAACACCTGGGTTGTTCCTGTAGCTGCACCGTTCTCTGTTCTCCATTGTCTTATTAAATTTGATCATTAATTCTGTTTACTTCCCCTGCCTTCTCCACCTCTTGCCAAGTAAAGAGGTAGATCAAACAACTGGTTGATTAACAGGTGCTCCAAAGAAGTGATTTACCAACTTGCAAACACTGCAGTCCCTATATATTAAGAAATATAATTTACATTGTAAATTTACATTTACATTGCAACACAGGACATTGTAACCCACACTTATACTGTACAAGTGTTTCATGAAACAATACTTATCCTCAAGTTGTGCTATCAACTCGGATGTTTTTGTTCTATTCTTCAGTGATTCAACAACAAAATGTTGGTTGTGACCCATGTCTTTTAATTTCATCACCTCCTGAAGGGTTTTAAGCTGTATATTATGGTCACTGGCTGAGAGAATATTAAACACACTTTTAGCTCAGCAATTGTTTCAAGTGCAATGGTGTAAGAATATGGCATATGCCGCTTTCGTGGAGGCCAAATCAGCTATAGAGCAAAAAGCTGTTTCACAAATATGACCCCCCCCTATTCAAGAGGCTTAATAAATTCTTTCCGTAGGAAATGGGGACTAAGGGAAGGCATGTGTACAGTAAATGTGTTTTTTGGTCCCATAAGAAACAAAGTGTCTTGTTTGGAGCTAGATGGAGCTAGGCTGGAATTCCAACCTCTCAACTTACTCCAGTGTATTTTTGGGCAGGTTATTAAACTCAGTTTTGGAGTGTTCGTTTTTTAACTTACAATACACAAATACAATATACAAAATCTACTTCAGTTCAGCTGTGAGCATTAAATGAGAACACATACCCAAGGTCCAGCAAAGTGTTTGGCACAAAGAAGATTCTAAGAATCTATTTCTGGTTTCCTCTCCAACCGTGGAATATAAACTCCAGATTTTATAGCCATTATTTAGGTTCTGTGTTTTTTAGGTTCTGTGTTTTATATTTTTGGAAGAAAACTAAAATTTGATAGAATATATTTTTTTAAAGTAATCTAATTTTTACAACCATACATTGTCCTTAATTGAATTAAATTATCCTAAATTAACTTAATAATAGTTAATAGTTATTACTTCTTCTGGACTGTTAATATGAATCATGAAACAATTTTGTGTTCTTGGGTCAGGTTTTTGTGTAGTATGTATATAGGATTTGGGTTAACCTCTCAATTATCAATACAAAAGTGATATATTGTGCGTAAAGAAGAAAAACATTTCTAATTGTTGTGTTGCTAAATAATTTAAACAGAAAGCACGTGCAAAATACAAGCACGACCTTTCTCCTTGGGTCAAACATGTAACTTCACCAGCGTTCTAGTGCTCTGGACAGGTAGTATTTTCACGACAGGTTAGCTAGCTTTTCAGGAGTCAGAGGAAATTACCTAAAATCCTAGGTTGGTATGACCACCTCATAGAATCATAGGATTTCTACAACAGGGCTGATTATTTTTAAATGTCTGCCTTTAAGTTGGGATCCTGCAAACGTGTGTGAATAGGAGGAGGCAGGGGTGACACCTTTCCCCGTCCCGAGGGGTGCTGCCCGGCGCCCAGGCCCCGGCCGCCGGGGCTCCCACGTGGCAAGTCCGGATTGCTCAGCGCGGGGCGGAGCGGGGCGGGGGCCGGCGGTCCCGCAGACCCTCTTCCGCGCTCCTGCCTCTTCCTCCGGCCGGTCGCCCGGAGCTCCCGCTCGGTCCTCCACCGCCAGGGGGCGGGCGCGGCTTCCCGGCGGCGGAGACCCATTGGTCGCGGCGGGGAAGCGGGGGAGGAGGCCCCGCGGCGAGCTGGCTTCCTCCTGGGTACCCGCGGGGGTGAGGGGAAGCCGGAGGCCGGGAGGAAGCGGAGCAGCGCGCGGGAGGCGGCGGCGGCGGCTCCCGAGGGCCTCCGGCAGGACTGACCGGTTAGAGGCGGAGGCCGGGCAGGCAGACGGAGCCGAGGGCGGGGAGGGATGGAGGAGGCTGGGGGAAGCCAGGCACTCACCTTCACCTTCATCCGGTTGCCGTGGCGCATCCGGCCGCGAGGAGGGCGCGGGCAGGACCGGGCACCCAGAGCGAGGGCGGTGGGGGTCCGGGCCGCCTCCCGGCGCAGCGTCCCTCTTCCCGGGCTCGTGGAGGGCGGGGCGGTGCTTGCACCTGGCGCTGGCTCTGCGCTCCGGCTGGGGCTCCGGTTCGCGGTCGGAAACGTGGGCTGAGTGCATTAGAGAGGCGCGGATGGGGTTCGATGTTGGATTTGAACTCAGTACACGGCCGTCTTGGCTCACTTGTAAAGTTTAGCGACTCCTAAACCGGAGGCGGTACTTTTTATTTTTAAAACCTATCCAGCCCATTGGTATTTGGTGTCATTGATAAGTATGCTGTACCTTCTTTTTCCTTTTTTCCGCATTTGTTTGCTAATATCCTCAAAAGTTCCCTCTATGCAAAGATCAGTGACCCTACAGCTAAATAATGTGACAGATGGACGATCTGAGGTGGAGATTTCCAGCTGTGATTTTTTTGTGTGTGTGTTTTTTTTTTCATCATCCTCAATCTTTAAGTTTCCTATAATATAGAACTGCTCGTACTGACAGTTTTTTTCTGAGGTGGTGAGTCTTTCTCTGGCTTAAGTTCTACAAAACTTGTTAAGGTATCTTGTTACCAGTTGTACTACATTAATTATGGATACTATTAATTATCTACAGTTGTGACCATTAGATGTGTTTTGAAGGACTTGTGGTCAGCAAAGCTGGATTTTTTTAATTGGTTCCGAAAATTTTATGCTTCTTACTACGTGTTCTTTGCAAATGATTGCCAGCCTGCATTCAGTTTTTGTGGTACAAGTGATGTGCTAACCCAGGTCCCTGGGGTCAGATAGAACTTCTCTGCTTCTCCATTTCTTCCCATAGGAGGTTTGACAGAATTGTGTCTGCCCGGGTTCAGTTAAATTCTGCAGACTACTTAAATATAGTATGAGTGAATCTGATACTTAAAGGTAGTGAAGTGGCTGTGTAGGGGAATTCTTAAAACATTCATTCAGAATAGGAAACTGTAATTTCCCATCTGATGGAACTAAAATAGTTGCATGAGATGAAGATAGTTACAGTGTATGTAAATTTGTGACTTTCTCTTATCCTTTTTGTAGCAGTTTGTGAACTAGACACTTTGCCCCTACTTATGTTCAACTTCTTATAGTTAAAATGTATTTAGTTTTTATTTTTGCCATTGTTTTCAATAATACCTATTCCTATCTAAATCTTTCTCCTCCTGGATGGCATAGTGTAGAATAAAGGTAGTTTAGATTACCGCTGTAACAGTTGTGGAACAATGAAGGAGCAGGCAAAATTAAAGGTCCTTTGTTTTCTTTTTTTCCTGTTTGTGATCATGAAATCTGATCACCATTTCATTTCTTCAACTGGATTACAACTTTTATAGCAAAATTATGCTTTGGTAGATGAGGGAAAACACCATGTCGTTTTTAGTCCAACATTGTTGTAACCTCTGCAAACAGGAGTTCTTTCTGCTCTGTTCCTCGGCACACTGCTTACCCCTCCCTCCTCACCCCCACTGGAGTCCTGGCCCAGAATCAGGCTGATTTCCATTCATTGTTAAGGAAAGAATGAAAATTCTTGTCCTTTTGAGTGTTACCTTTGGGCTTTTTTGGCCTAGATCTGCCTGTCTGTGTGTTTGGAATGGTGTGCTGGAGATTGAAATTTTCAGATCTGAGTGAGAGTGAGAATCATCTGGGGAGCTTGTTAAACCTGCTGGAGTTTTCACTTATTCCTAGGGATTCTGGGCTCAGGAATTTGCATTTTTAAAAAGCCCACCAGTAATTGTGTCTGTGCTGTGGATTACATTGTAGTTAGGGCTCAAACAACCACTTACGATGTTTCTTTGAATCTAAGATGTTTGTAAGGTACACTGTTATTATATATTACTAAGGGAGAAAAATGTGGTTGAAAGTCTTATCCAAATTTGAGGCATGTTAAAATGAGGGAACTAATGTGTACTTGAATCAAAATAGTGTTAGATGCCTGAGGAATCACAGGCCCCACTTGTTAAAGGTGAAGGATTATTATGAAGCATGGAAGCTATGAGATAAAAAAATTACAGTGCAGTACTTCTTCATACCTTTTACCATGTGAAATATTTGTTTACAATAAGAGTTTAATATAAGGTGTCCTTCTTTGACATTTATTTGTGATGAAGATTATACTGACGACTTTGTTTTAAAATGCAGTTTGGTTGTATTTGTAGGGTGTAATGCCCTCGAGTTTGGTCCCGTATTTTCATCCTACCCATTTCCAGTCATCTGTATGTTGGCAGTTCAGAAGTCTTATTTCTAGCTTCTTTGTATTTTAGTGATTTATGTTTTGTAACTAGTCCACTGAAATAGTCTCTTAATGTCCTGTTGACATCCCGTGTGGCTTGGTGTTTTGATTTCTATCTTTTTAATTATCCTTTTTCTGTTAGTCCCTAGGCCTCACTTTTGCTAGCTTATTACACCATATACACCTGCCACTTACTGTCCTGTCTTAAATAGTTTATAGATGTAGTGGTAATAATCAGAGTAAACACAAATCTGTCAAAGCAAACCTAAACTCTGGCTGCCAGCTGCACCATGTGTGGCATATAGGTCCTGAATGAGAAAATACATGTAGGTTAGACTAAATCTTCCCTCATTAATGAGACTTAGTGAAGAGCAACCTCACCTGCTTATGGTGTTTCCTTCAGTGGTATCATTGTAAGAAATGAAGTATCTTGGTCAGAAACAAGTTGCTTAACTGTGTTAGATTTGGGAAAAGCAGAACACATGTCCATTTAGTTTTTAATCTTTTGAAATATTTACAGAAAGCATGGTTAAATGCCTCTTGATCAAATTAAGTATTTCAGAAATCTTACCTCAAATTTCTGAAGAGGAAAGAAGTTCAGGTCTCAAGCAATGTCACACTGGTTGGAGAAATTGGTTATGCTGTGGAATTCTTCATATTGAGATGAGCCATGTTAGGATACTTGTTCTCAGAATGCGGTGTGTGGCCTGTCAGACGTGGTTATGAATCACTGGGGCAAAGGTGGTCTAGGCAGGGCACTGGCATGATTTTAGCAGGGCACTTTTGCTAACTGATTTTTAACTGGAGGGACAAACAGTATTATGATTGCATGTTGTCATATTTCATTTTTAAAAAGAATGGAATTTTATCTAGCCACTGTAGATCAGATTAGTTTCTGTTAGCCATTTAAAAATACGAATCCTCTTTTTAATGTAATTTCAAGGATTCTGCCTAAGGAAACAAGAAAAGCAATATGATAGTAATTCAAATAACTAAACATCCAGCCTTGGATCACGGGTTTCAGTAGAGCTTTAAAATGTTATTCCAAAAGACTTGTTTATTAGTTCTCTTGGGCCATTATTTAAATGTTTTGATCTGTGTCTATACAGTCTCTTCTCTTTGAAGGCCACTTTGCATAAGAAGTAGATACAATGATATTTTTCTCAGTGATCAAAAAGTGGTTCTTGGCATTATAAACTCCATAGAGATCTCCTCTGCCTCTTCCCAAAGGAAAGAAATACTTTGTTTTTTGCTCCTTTTTTCCTAGTCAAAATGTAAGGTTGGTTTGGTCAATTAAAAACTTGGGATACTTTGCTCATTGTTAGCCGGTCACTTAAAATTTCCTCCTTTTAATTATTCTCAGATCATATATACACTTTAAAAAAGTGTTTAATGTGTGCTAAAGTGGCAGATTCTTTTAAAAGGATGAATTTTCTAGGATTGTGTATCAGAGTGTTGTACCAGTCCTAAAATATTTTGCCTAGTTAGTAATTGGATTTTTTCTATTAAGCACTTTATGTTAGTATCAAATTTTACTAACTTTCACAATATTTGTAACATAATGATAGAAAGCTCAGACAACATATTGAGTTTTTAAATGTTAGGATTATAAGGAATGCAGTCTTCTCACCTCTCTTCAAAAATGTATCCAGCCTGGCAAAGAAGTGTGCATGGTGGCATCTGGGTACAGCAGGGTACTTGACAGCAGTCTGCATCTAATAATGATAACTTTTTGTTGACGTAAAATTTTTTTACAGCTAAGTATTTGGAATTTTAAAAGTTGATTAAACATCAGATACACAGGTACATCCCCACCCTTTTTCTAAGCCTATCACAAAAATGATCACTTTAAACACCTACATAAAGAAAGCAGCAGTATCAGTTTCTCCTCATCTTAATTTTACAGTTAATGAAATGGGATGTAATAATTGTAATTTTTAGCCATTTCTTTGTATCTCCTGAAATTGCTTTGGAAAAACATTCCAAAGTCTAAATTTATACCTATCTCTGTGGTAGATGGACTGCTTTATTTATAGAAAGGGAAGGAATTTTTCCCTCCTTTTGAAAAGGATTCCATTGGGTTGTTTCTCACGGAGTACATGCTCTTGCCAAGGAGAGGAGCTGGCTTGAAAATGTACAATGAACACTTACAGAACGCAGAATTTAGAACTATTTGATCTGTGCTAGTACTTCTAAGAGGATCTGTAGAAGCCTTGTGGCAGTTGTAAATCCTGCAAGTAACCCTGTAAGAAATGCTGGGATATTAGAGCACAGTCAGGGAAATACTTTATTCTTCTGTTTTAAACTTTTTATTAATTTAAGTTTTATTTTTTACTCCTCTATCTTGGATTGGCAAGTTAACCCATGAGTCTGTGTGGCCCATGAGTCAAGATTGCTTTTTACATTTTTAAGTGGCTGAAATAAAGAGAAGAATAATGTTTTGTAACATGAAAACTTCATGAAATTCAAATTTTAGAGTCCACAAATGAAGTTTTATTATAATACAAATGTCCCATTTGTTACATATTGTCCATGGCTGCTGTCCAGCAATGACTACAGAGTGGAGTAGTTGTGATACAAACTGTATGGTCTACAAAACCTAAAATATTTAACATCCAAACAGCACCTTACAGAAAAGATTTATAGAAAAGTTTGCCAACACTTGCTCAATGTTCATGCACATAAATGCATGTATTTTTTTACAAATGGTTTTTTAATACCATACTTTTGTTTGTAATATAACATCAGAATAACATAACCCTGGTGACTTTTGTTTGCAACCTCCTTTGTTCTCATTTTCCTATTTCTCTTAAACTTCTCTGAGATTGACAAATCTTTTACATTCTGATTTTAAGGAGACCTATTATTAGTCTGAGTTCTCCTGAGAAACAGAACCTATGCAAGATAGCTATCTAAAATATTGTAATGTATTAGCTCATGCAATTGTGGAGGCTGAGAAGTCCCAGGCAAGCAGGAGACCCAGTAGGAGCCAATGGTAGAGTTCCAGTCCAAGTCCAAAGGCCTGAGAACTAGGAGAGCCAATGGTGTAAGTTTCAGTCCAAGTTCAAAGGAGGGTGAAGATGGATGTCCCAGCTCCAAGACAGTAGGCAGAGAGTGAATTCTCCCTTAACCTTTTTGTTCTCTTCAGGCCTCCAACACATTGGGTGAGATTCACTCATACTGGGGAGGGCAAACAGCTTTACTCAGTCATTAGTCTCATCCAGAAACACTTTCACAGACACACCTAAAATTATATTTAACCAAATATCTTGGCATCTCATGGCCTACTCATTGACCCATGCAATTAATCTTCCCTGGGCTCAAATGTACTCTAAACTATGACCTTTTTTTTTTTTTTCATAAGTCCTCTTGAAAAGCCCGAGTTCGTGTGAATATTAGAATCCTCTGAACTTGCTTCACTTGATTCATTGAAAATTGCCACTTGGTCAGCACTGGCTTTAAGTTGGATTGCATTGAGTACTACTTTATTTATATTTGTGGAGTATAATTTGTAGTATTTTCTTCTGTTTTAATTAAATGATTGTTAAATACATCAGTGGGTGTGTTTGTATGCTTCATTTTCTTGTTTCCATTCTGTTTTGTTGGGGTATTCTAATACACATGCTTAGTCATTTTGACAAACTGTCAAATCTCTGGTGTGGCCAGTTGTCAGCAGAATTTTACAATTCCCAGAGCAATTTTCAAAAGCCAAACTGATTGGCATGGAATTTTGTCAACAAGCTTCATATATTGAAGTATGACAGTGAGCTGCTGGGATGAAAGGGAAGTGGATTTGTCTGTAGTATCAGCTTCTTATGACCTTAGACAAACCCCTTGACCTCATCTATGTCATCAGAATACCACCATAACTAGAAGGCTGTTGGAAGATTACATAGGTAAGAATGTGTGTGAATTGCACTGCTGTCTGCATTATTACCTAGTTTATTTTAACTGGCAAGACCTTCCCACCTGGTAGGTGATTTCTTTTTTTAATTTTACTGATACAGAATGGTATTCTTGTAATTCACGTGATGTGGCATGAGTCCACTTCTCAGGGAAAGAATGACAATATACCACATCACCTGTGTTTTGAAGTCGATTGACCAAAACCGCTGCCTGCTTATTCAGGCCTTATTTTAGCAGAACTTCACTAAATTAGCCCCAAGTAGATAGTTGGACTTTAAGGAAATGTTTAAATTGTAAGACAGTTAAAGAAATCCAGTATGTGAATCTAAGATTTTAATTTAGGCTCCCTTCTTCAGTCGAGTCACATACTTAATTAGCACTTATCCAGACAAGTGTTTCATTTCCCAGGGGCCTCGGGGCGGCCCTCCTTGTAGCACACAATCAGAAGATGGTCCACTTTACATATTCGCGAACTGATTTGGTTTAGTCATCTTTCTAACACACTGAAATGGGTTTTGACCTATCCTACATTTTATGGGGCAAATGTTATTCCACAAATGTACCATCAGAGTTTTTGTTGTTGTTTCTTAAATTACTCTGTTTTAAAAATAAGTCTCCTCCTACCATCAATATTCTAGTTTTAGTAAATGGCTCCAATTTCTATATTTCTACCTATTAATGAATATATAAGAAAAATCATGAACTCTTTCACCTGTTACCTCTGGATTAAAGAGCTCTGAGTTCCTAGCAGAGGCCTTTCTGTGTTGTGTTCATTTTCTTGGATCTGTTGTATCTTGTTGGAGATGCAGCCCAAGGTTTATAAGAGATCCTAGTAAGTTTTGACTCCCGCCCCCAAGATGATTATGTATATACTGATTTTCTTTGTTTTTAAAGATGCTCCTCGATTTGTTCTCAGGTATATTTAATTCTCCTTCCTTATGCTGATTTACACTCTTGCACCAATACTCTGCTTCTCAAGCAATTTTTTTTTAATTGAAAAATGTGTTATGGCTGATATTTGATGAGATTCTGATTTGGAGAATTTACTAAATGTTATTCTCTGGGAAATTTAATGGAAAACACAACTGAGCTAAATAATTGTAGTTGCTTATATTGTGGTCTTACTGGTGATAAGCTTAGAAGCAGGCTCACTGGGCAATGAATACAGGTGGCAGACATATGAGGTAGTGACTGTTATTGTACAGATAATGGAAATGGTGAAGAAGGAGTGTCTGTCCAATTGCTTATCACACTTCCAAGGAAATTTTCCTAGGTCACACTCAGATAAGAGTGAAGTTATTTTGAAATATTACTTGGGAGGAAAAGCATGTGTGTGTTGTGAACATAGTGTTCACTTTTGCTGGAAGTCAGAAGACAATTTATATAACCACTTGGGGTTTTCTTTGAAAAGCCAAGGATTTTTTTCTGCTTTTATGTGATGGCTGTGGATACTTCAGTATTTCTTGTTTCCTTTTAGTATTTTCCTAGTCTGTGACTAAGTAGTTAGTTTAAATAGATAAATAAAGTTGACTATTATGTGGAAGGTGTTCAAATTCAGTGTTTAACTGTTGATATTTTCTTCAGGGTAGACTGGGCAGAAGAAGGGGGTTCATGTAAGAGCATTGGCCCTTTGGACACCCACCCCCACCCCTGCTTATTCCTTATTGGTGAATTAGAAAACTGGATGTCTCACTTCCTTTCCTTGTCCTTCAAGGGTGTGTGCCATTTTTGTTTCTTTTGAAGCATTCTGTGAGTTACACATCGGACATAACATGAAAACGTCAGTATAAAATACAATAAAAAATACGGTCCAACAAGAGGATATAACCATTATAAATATCTATGCACCCAATATAGGAACACTTAAATATATCAGACCTAAAGGAATAAACAGACATCAATACAATCATATTAGGGGATTTTAATACCCTACTTACATCAATTAATAGATCCAGAAAATTTTTAAAAAATACAATCAAAAATAAAGAAATAGCTATTTTTGATTAATGTAACTCATTTGTCAAAATAATCTTTTGAATTCCTTTCCTGTACAATAGATTGAGTAAACTCTGGAAGCTTTCTAGCTAAACTTGGGCATGAATTTCTTACCATGCTCATTTACTTGATTTTTAAAATTCCACCTATCTTGAGGTATTTTTCAGGAGAGAAACACACATACACATATATAGGTTTTATTTCCAGGATCTCTCTCTTGTTATTAGCATTATATCAGAGAACAGTCTCTTCATTTGATATGTAATACACACTGTCAGTAATAATACTTGCTGGAATATTTAAAATTGCAATTCTACACTTCTGAATATCTTCTTTTACAAACCTAATTGAAAACATGAGAAGAAAAAGTCTTATTAAAATAAGTCTTTATTTTATAAGTACTTACCGTAGTGACATTTGATTTATGTCCTACCAAAAATGAAGTGCCGTCATGTATTAGAGTGAGCCCTAGGGCAGGAGCCAGAAGACCCCAGCCCCATTTCTACAATAATTTGTTCCATGACTGGGTAATCAGCTTGACCTCCTTAGACCTCAACTGCAAACTGAAGTTGGAATTAAATGTCAGAAGTTCCTTATAGATGCATAATCACCAAGAATAATAAGGCATTACATTCTCTTCACATGCCTTGATGGCAGCCTTTCTCTATTTGACCATTGAGTCAGGGAGCTGGGAACAGAGCAGTATAAAAGACAGACCTTCCTCTCAAGAGCTTTTACGTTCTCGGGGAAGGATCCAGGTCCAGTGATGAGTTTTTTCATTAGATGTCAGTATAGGCAGAACACTCAGAAATGTCATGACATTTACTTAATTAGTTTAATGTATAACTCCAAATCAAACTCAATCTAGGGAGGCATTTTCCTTCTAGACCTAATGATGTTTATCTTCTCTTTTGATTTTAGGAGCTTGTTTAATGAAAAGTGCCAAAGACTGAAGAACCAAACATGAGGGTAGCAGGTAAGATATTTAATTCAGTAGAAATAAATTTGCTTCTTGTGTAACCTGTTTAGTAGTGACTAAAGGAGAAGGTAAATAATATTTTTGTATATTTAGTGTAAAGCTGAAATATAATAAACAATAAATAACTAGACTTTCTACTTTTCTTATGTAGTTAGCAAGTTACAAATTGGAATTTAGTGTTATACGAAATTTTTGTGGGACAAACTTGTTGACCTAATTCATGCCAAATATTTTAATGTTTTTATGTTTGTATCTTATATACATTAAACTTATTTTCCTAATAATATATATAAAATGTTCATATAAAGAATGACTTCAACAACCTAGGGAGACTGATTTTTATTTTTGCTAAGTTCTAGGTTATTGAAAAAAATGTAAAGTAAGTCTTCCTATGTATAAACTTAAATGAAAACTAATATATGTGAGGGATTCAATAAAATGTGTTTTTGCTTAAGTGAGAATGTATGTGCTATCTCAAGGTCAATCTGCGCAAGTGAGGTTATGTGTAAGAACATCTGATTCCTAGGCAGCATATGGAGGAAACTGAAAAACACCACTTGATATTCATAATCTAAGGTAGTTATCTTTAAACATTGTAAAAAGACAGATCCATAAATAACTGAAGAGGCTGATGACTTCTTCCTATCTTTATAGTGACTATAAATGTGATCCCACCCACCCCTGCCTCTTCCTCAGCACAGCTAAGAGCCTAGAAAATGTGCACACTTTGCATAGAAATTTCTACAAAGTGTGTGTCCACCATAGGAGATAACTTGTAATTTTTCAAAATCAAGATAGTCTTTTAATTATCTTCTCACCAGCAAACAAAGTATTTTCCTATGGGAACATTTCCTTGAAGTGCCTAAGGTCAAGGTAGGCGAACAAACAAGTCTTCATGCTTCAATCGTTAATTATATAGAATCAGGTGCAGGTGCTTAAACATCACGATTATAACATGGTTGTTCACAAATGCCTTTGTAGAAATTTGAAAATCTGGGTCCTTTGGTCATGAACGGACAAAATATCCTTTCATGAATATGTAGCTGTACAATTACTGAAAGAAAACATTCCCAGAAACCAAGAGCTTGTTTGTGGTTTAAAAAAACACGTTATGTCTTTTCTTTTTTAAAATGATCTTTAAAGACAGCGGGACTATTTATGATCACATGTGTCCAGATGATTTTAAAAGTACATGAGTTAAGCATGGTGATTGGAAATAATCAAAGCAAGTTTCTCCTTCTCACATAATTGTACATTTATTCTAGTTGAAATTAACTTCACCATCTAGTCCCTCTCTCTGATTCTGACAGTACCAGGGTTAATTGATGGGTAACTATTCACTGGGCGCTTATTTTGTTTGGCACTGTTCCTAGTATAGGTCTGCAGGGATTGCTTTTAATGAATGAGTAATGAAGATTAGCTCCTGGTTTATTACTTTTACTAATTAATCTCTTCTAATCTTAAAAAAATACCCTGGTTGCTTTGACATATCCTCATAGCCATAATCCTTATAGCAAGGCAGCAATGTCTAAAGTAATGCTTTTGGTTTGTGAAAAATTGGGGCAGTCTCAGATTAGTGCATCCATTACTATAAGGAAGAGGGAGTCTCGTGGCAAGTTAAGAATGGCAGCCGTGGTGTGGTATGGTTAAGGCCCTGCGCAGTGCAAAACTGGCTGGTGGCCAGCTCCAGAACTCTGCCATTACAAGGCTCTGCTGGTCTTCACCTGCCTGCTCCTCTCAGGGGCCAGCTGTTTGCTCTATTACCAGTTCAGTTTCTCCGCCTCGCTCTTTCCTCCCCCAGGGCTTTTGCTTCCTCCTAGTTCCTCTGGTGGCCCAGGATAAGCACATAGGTCTTGGTGTAAGACTCAGTTCTGCTGCTGACTAGTTATACGACCTTAGGCAAGTGATCTGAATTTGTAGCCTTTTCCTTACTCACAAAATGAAAATTGTAGCTTGAAAAGCTGTGCAAATGAGATGCTTTTACAAAACCTTTGCTCTCTAGTGTCACTCAGTAAGTGGTGTGTGAGTGCATGATATATATGTATATATGATGCATATAGCTTATTTAGTGTGGACTCAGGTTTAGCTTGGTAAATCGTCTAGACCTTTCATAGATTATAAACTTATCTTAATATTTTAATTTTGAACAATGAAACTTCATACATCTGCCTTGAGGGACAGGAAAAGGTTGTTTCTAGTTGCGCATGTCTATGAATGCCAGAAATGGAGGTGTTTGCACTGTCCTGTGAAATATAGTCTTCAAGCCCTTTTCTTAGATCATCAAGGACAGTGCGACCTGTTGGCATTCATCTATTTAGCAAACACTGGTTGAGAGTATTACTATGTGCAAGCTCTCCTGCTACATCCTGTTAGGGGAACACTTCAAAGCCTATTCTTGAACTCTTAATATTTACTCTCTTAGACACTAAAAATAATGGCGACTTGTAGTTGCTCCTGAAACCACGAAGCAGTGTTTGATAGAGAGAAGGTAGGAAATGAGGGAGGTGGAGGTACCTTGGCTGCCTCGTTGCCGTCTCATTTCCATCTCATTTTGGTATTTAGAGCCTTTCTCATAGAGATGGGGAGCTCTGAGAATCTGCCGGCTCATCAGCTCATTCCCTCCCTTTCCCTTTAAGGACGTGGTCCTAAGCTGAGGGTTATGAAAGTAGTATGAACACAGCTCTTTCTTCCCTACCAGCAAGTTGGGTTTGCGTAGTTTTTCAGGAGAACGTGGTCATTTGGCATTAGGATGGGGGACGGTATGAAGCGCTGCACTCAGGATCCCTGGGTTTCTGGTCCTCAGGCTGCCCCTAAGTTACCTGTAACCTCGGACAGTCGCCTCACCTCTGTCTGGGCTTCTGCCTCCTTGACGGTGCAGAGATGACTGCCCATCCCGCCTGCCTCTTTCCGATCAGCGTAAACGTTGGTAAGAGGGGATGGAGATGTACAGACCAGTGTTACCAGTGCTCTCAAGTAACCCCAGTAGGTGGCTCTGGAAGCCTGAGCATTAGGGGAAAATGGCCCTCTCCTGTCATTTTCCATTTCCTTTCCTATCTTGCATTTTTCTATTTCTTTCCTAGAATGGCTTAGCTGTGGAGAAAAACAAAAATAATGATTCATATTCAACAGGTCATTAGTTAATAGCACTGTTGACTCTTTGTAAAGCACTCAGAAATGGCTAAAGATACAAAGATAGGAAAGACTGAGCGTGTCTTCACAGATCTTCCCATGCAGCCACGTCACCCAGCGTATGTGACAGGTCCAAATTAAGTCCTCCTGGAGTGGGCAAGACCTGTGTCAGAGTAGGCGTCAGGTATGAGGAGGGATACTCTGTTGTTCACCATACCAAGAGCGCTTACGAAGCTGCTCCATGAGATACGATGCTTGGGTACCACATGCTCTGCAGACCTGCCACGTTTCGCCCGGGAACTCCTTGCTTAGTGCACATCCTGTGTGTTGTCTTAGTGTCTCCAGAAGGTCCACTGTTTTCGTATCACTCCTGTACAGTATTGCCCTTTTTATTTGAAAAGGATTAGGAATGTGTCATCCAACATATTGGTGGTGTTTGAGTGCCATGATAATTTTGTATTCAGCCAGCAATTGATAGCAGGTCATTTTTTTTTGCATATGAAAATGAGGCACAAGACTCAGGCAGTCCTGTGTCTAGGTGGCCAGCCAATCTGCCCGAGGTTCCAGTTAACTTAGGGGCAGCCTGAGGACCAGAACCCCGAAGGAATAATTCCTTCACCAGGGAAGTCCCTTATCTTGATGGATTGTTGGTACTCAAGTAAAATGAGACCCAATAGATAAACAGTAGAAATTTATTAATCTTCAGAAATTTCTTTTTAAACATATTTTTCACAGAAATGCATAATAAAAATTCTGTGGACTCAAAAGCTCATGCTGAATTATTTCTGCCCTTCAGGTGCTGCAAAGTTGGTGGTAGCTGTGGCAGTATTCTTACTGACATTTTATGTTATTTCTCAAGTATTTGAAATAAAAATGGATGCAAGTTTAGGAAACCTATTTGGTAAGTTTCATTTTTTTCCCCTTTCTTAAATCTCATTTTTGATGTGATTGTGTTTTTAACCAGTTACCGACATTGAGTCAACTCTGCTGTTTAATCTGTATAGAAAAGAAAATGTAATTATTGGTGTGATTCATTAGACTGTTCTAAAATACAAAACAGAAAGTCTTCCAATTAATTCACTATAAAGTATGAGTCATCTGTTCAACATTTTGAATATATTTAATGGGGTGTGTTTCACTTATGCCTAGGGACATTAATCATGGCATTTTAAATGCACGTTCTGGAAGATACCACACCTAATTTGAGTTGGCGGCTAGAAAACTTGAGACCAAATCTAGCCCTCAGTTAGCAGGTGATAGGAATCATGATGAAGCATTTTGAATACCAGCCATAGAAATCCATCTTTCCTATCTTTGTTTTCCTTCTGCAACATTTTTCTTGTTAGCAGTTTATTTACTACTATGTTGTAAATGTGTCATCATAAGCTAACTTAACTTAGTTTTCAAAAAAATCTTGAATAAATTAACATTTGAAATGTTTGACTAAGTTTTGAAGTATTAAGGCATTAAAAAATTATGCACAAAAGGTGAGTGTTTTGACCTAGTAGGCAGAAATCCATGAAACAACTCTGAGGTCTTAAGAATAGTGAGTTTTGCTTTCCATAAATTAATATTTGGAAGGGATCCACAAGACCTGATTCACTCTTTCTCACATCTAGTTTCAAGACTCATTTAAATCAGTGTTTCTCAAACTTTAATGTCAGAGGAATCTCCAGGAAACCTTGGTAAAGGCAGATTCTGAGTCAGTGTCTGGGATGGGGCCTGAGAATCAGCATTTCTAACAAGCTCCCAGGTGATGCTTAGGTTCCTACCCATGGACCACAAACTGAGTATCAGTGCTTTAGGCAATTCAGACTTGTCGTCATCAATATCTGAGTGAACATTTTCGGGTGACTTTTCTTTCAATGATTACTTGAAAATACTTCCTTGTATTGCACTGAATTCTGCCTTTCATATTCCCAAATAATATCAGTGCAGTATCTTGCCTCTGCTTGCTGGAGTTCTCGTCCACACTGGTGATCTCTCAAATGTTAATTTGTAGTCATATTCTTTCAGACCATCTTCTTACAAGTTTTCATCTTACCAGGTTATGGAACCCTCCCACCCCCACCCCCCAATTGCCCTTTCCTCTTAATGTATTGTTACTTTCCTCCTGAACTGTTTGGCTCTCAGCACCCACCTTACAATGAAGTATCCAGGAGCCACATAGAGTAGTTATTATAACGCATATGAGACTTAATTTCCTGTGGTCTGTATACTTCTCTTACTACAAAGGGGCACAGGCCTGGCGTCCTCTGAGAGTTTGAAACCGTTCAGCTGGTTTTAGGTGAATGATGAAGCAGAAAGACATTGAGGACATTGAAGACTTATTCAGTGTTGCTGTGGAAAAAATATGTATAGCTAATTCTCTTAAGACAGGTTGTTGGTAAGGAAAGAGGCAGAAACAACCTGAACCTTTTTTTCTTCTTTGAAGCGATAGAGAGACTTTCACTAATCTGTGGGCTTTGGGCAAAGATTCAGTGAATTACAAACCAGTGGGAAGAGATGGAACAGACAGGAAGAGGAAGACCCTTGAGAAAAGGGAGGCCCAGGACCATTGGTACAAATAGAAAAACTGCTTAGGGAGAAGGCCCAGTGTTGGGAAGAGGCTAGGTGGAGCCACGGGGTTTTGGCCTCGTTCGGATCGTCATCCCATCTGGACCGTTTCCATAAACATCACGGGGAGCTGCTGGGTCTGTTTCTTATCTTTGATGGCTGCCTGTCTCACCTCTGCCAGAGTGGTTCTCGTAGAACTCACCAACCTGTAGTGCTTCCCATGATCGGAGAGCAAAATCAGAACTCCCTGCTTAGGATGGCACCACAGCCTGACCCTGCCCTTCTCATCTCTTCTCTTCTCCACCCCTCCCAACCCCTTGCCTCCCACCCGCTCTGCCAACCTGCCCAGGAGCTACAGACACAGACAGGCCCTGTCCTGTCCTTTGGTATCTCAGCCTTAGCTCATGCTCACTTCTCACCCTGCATGTGTTTCTGCTCTTCCTTTCCTCTTTAATTTTCCTCATTTTTCAAAACTTCATAAATGCCCCTTCTTGAGAGAAATTGCATTTGAACCTCCCTCTCTCCCTGTGAGGATGTCTTGCTCCTTTTCTTGAACTGTTCATTCTAATGCAAAGAAGTTCTCTCTCAGTTTGGCACTGACTGTATTTTGTCTTACATCATTGAATTTCTCTTTTCCTTTTTTTTATGTAGCCGTCTCCCCTTCCTGGAGGGCAGTAGTCTCTGGGGGTTCACTGAGCATCTAGTGTTGGGCCCTGTCGGTAGTTAATGCTGACTGAATGGAAATGAATGTAGGTGATTGAGGATTAGGATTTTTATGTGGGGAGGAAGTGTGTTTCCCAAGTGGGATTCACATAAAGCTGCCTTGGTTGAAAAGCCACTGGTCATCAGCTATGACCAAATAATGAATTACTTTAACTAGGGTACTTAATTTCCATTTTGATTTTTTCCTAATGTTAGGACCCAGCAAGGTTTTACTGTGCGTGTTTTAGCTATTTGATTTAGACATTCTTAGGACAGGTGGTTTATTTTGTTGTCATAACAGAAGTCATACACTGTTTCCACAAAACCTTACTGGATTCCAGTCCATTGAATTGGTGAAAATTTAACTTGTATGTTATATTTTAATTCTCAGTTCAGAATAATTAAGCAAAGATAGTAATATGGTTGTCTTTGCCATTTGCTTAGCATCTTATTTTACTAAAGGATAACAAGTTTAATTCGACATTAGGATTCTTTCTATGATCTGTATCTTAGGGGGACCCATGAGATTAACTGTAGTTCTTTTGGTAGTGAATTTTTTCAATTTTTTCCAGCTTGGCATAATAACTTACATGATAGTTTCTATGAGTTTAAAGTCAGGTTGATTATACAGTACTGTTTTAGAAATATAAAACAAACTTATTTCTAGAAGGGAAGAATGAAACATTTTGTTCAGTTAGTAGTTGAAATTACCAAAGTAGATTAATTGTGGTTTTTTCAAAACAAGTTTTTAACAAAACTTTTTATTTTGAGATGATTGTAAATCCACATGCATTTGTAGGAAGTAATAAGAGAGAGCCTGAGTACCGTTTACCCAGTTTGTCATATTGGTAAAGTCTTATAAAACTATGTACCGTGTCACAACCAGGATGTCAACATGGATACAATCTACCACTCTTAGTTATGACTAGTTACGATTGCAATTCACCATGGATATCTAACAACTAGTAAATGTACTGAGCAGTCTGAATTATTTTTGCATATATGCTGTAGTAAGTACTTAGTGTTCTATTGAGTTGACTTCTTTTACCCTTTGAGATTTAAACTGTTGAAATAGTATATACATAAATTACTTGAGATATTATTAAAAATTAAAGTACAGAATAGTTCTGATTTTTCTAGCGTGAGTTGTTGAAAGATATGCATTGATGAAACCAAATCAGAAATGTTTATTATTGTTCCTTGACGTGAAAAGTTGCATATATTGAAAGAAATTAGAAATTAAAAGCTATCAAGGTAATTTGAGGAATACATGTTGGAGAAAAGGAGACTTGTGTTTGTATGCTGTGTGCATACTCTTCACATGGAAAACACGCTTTTATTTATGAAAATTTACCTGTTTGGCCCATAGGAATTAAAATTCTCTAAATTGCAAACCTAAGAAGGGGGCTTTTGGGTTTGTTAAGTATTAGATAAAAATTCGTTTTCATCTGGAAAGAAGTCTTTCACGACAGGATTGAAAGGAGCTGATGTTATTTACTTAAAAGCCTGATGAAGAAACTGTTTTTCCCCAAATTGTATCCAAGTAAAAATTTTTAATTGAGTAGCATTTACTGTTTGTTTGGGTTTTTTTTTCAACACCTCTTAAGTTTTACCAGCAAGTCAGTTTGACCATTTCAGAAGCTCAGCCCTGGTTCTTCTACCTGCCTTTCCTGAGCCACACTCTCCCTCCCAGCATGAGTTGATTATGACACCTCTAAGCTTCTCTCCTCAGTCCTTTTCTCACTTTAAATCCTCTCTGTGGGTGGCCTTATCCTTTGCTAATTTTCCAGGTTGTATCTTCATCCCAAATCTCATTTACTCCTGGCTTCTAGATTTTTCCACTTGGATCTTCTCCAGGTATCTTAATAACTGCTCCACCCCAGAACTCATCCAGCGCCCACTCTGTCTCCTCACTAGACTGTGAACATCTTGAGGCCGGAGATAGTGGTGGTGGCTGCTGGGGCATGTGCATGAATAAATGAATGCATCTAAAGTCAAATTTCTGTCATGCCTCCATCTGGTCTGTTCCGAAATCCTGTCAGTGTTGCTCCCTTAGCTGAACCTGTCTGCTGCTTTCAAAGCCATAGCCACTACATTTGTTCAAGCCGGTGCCCTTTTGTCTGGATTACTCCAGCCGTGTCCATGTCCTTGTAGGCCCCTTGTCTTGAGCCTGTTACCCCCTCTGCAGCTGGAAGGGTTGTTCTCAGAGCTCCCTGTCCTGGCTTTTTCTTTAAAACATGGATGATGATCAAGTCTGTACTATATGCACATGAGAATTTCTAGTCTTCATTGCTGCTATTCAGTGATTGCTGATCACTTGTGGGCTTTTGTTTCCTCGTTTACTAAAGTGAAAATATTGGACCAGATGATCTGTGAATGATTTTGTCCCTTTTATGGCATAATTAGGAAAAAAATGATACAATTAAGGAAATAGAAAGAATGAGCCCCAGTAATCCCAAGACCTTAATTTACTAACTGATCATTTTTTGTTTCTTTCTTTCAAGTGTATTATGTCCTTATCCATGAATATTTTCAGTACTTACAGATAAAGTTTGTTTTCTGCTCTATTCTGTGCATTATACTTTTTCTGTATTACTCTAACACCTTTATCACTTCAATGGTGCATGATATTATGATCGTCCTACAGAGTGAATGAGCCTTCCCTTACTTGGCCATTTTCCTCTTTTTCAAATATTTGTATGTTATTTTTCCACTTTAACTCTCTGTTCTCCAGTTTGAGTATGAGACTTACAGGAAATTTGCAGTTATCTAAAAAATAGTACAGAACTAAAAGCTTAGACTATTTATAGTCAAAGCTGGCAAACATATATGACACCACATGCTTATTATAAGCCAGATCAGGAAATGGCTGTTCCACAATACTGTTGATGATCTGAATTGTAATTTCCTGTGGTGGGATCAGATGTTAGTGCTCTTAAAAAGCTCTAAGTGTAGGTGGCCAGTTTGAGATCTATTGCATTGAAGTTAAGGTTTGATCAGATTCTGGCATCCTTGAACTGATAAATTGTAAAACTCTTAGTAATTTACCTTAATATTTTTATTTCACTCATTTATCTCTGTTTTAGAGAAGTTAAAGCACCCCACTGGCACTCTCCTATGTGTGTGTGTGTGTGTATGTCTGTCCGTCCATCCATGTCTCCCACCAATCTCCTTGCCTAACCTCTAAGGTTTATATATATTCTCCAGCACATTATATATATGTGTATACAACACCATATACAGCAGCCACAACTTTTAAACACCCTAATACTTACAAAGTATATATTTAAAGGGAAGTTTGAAATACTGTAGGATACCACTTATATGTGGAATCTAAAAAGGACAAACTCAGAAATAGAGTAGAAAGGTGGTTACCAAGGGTCAGGGGGTGGGGGTAATGGGTATGTTGCTATAAGTATACAAATTCCCATTATAAGATTAACATGTTTGGGACTTGATGTATACAGCATGGTGATTTTAACTAATAATACTGTATCATACATTTGAATATTACTAAGGCAGTGGATCTTAAATGTTCTCACCACAAAAAAGAAATGGTAACTATGTGATAGGATTGAAATGGTAGCTAACACTATAGTGGTCATCATTTTGCAATTTATAAATATGTCAAATCAACATATTGTATATACCTAAACTTAGATAATGTTATGTGTCATATCTCAGGAAAGCTGGGAAAAAATTAAAAGTAAATTCTAAGAAGTTAAATTTGAAGTAACTTTATGATTGGGTTTAAATTTTCATAACTAAAATTAAAAAACAAAATGTATATGTAAAAATAAAATATTCTATCACTAATAAAGTACTACCATCCAGAATTTCTCTTCATGGTTGTTTGTAGTGAATTATGCGGCCTAAAGGTACTTTCTCACTTTTCCTTCAAATATTATGTTTTATTTATTATTGTTTTCATATTCATGTTTTATTAACTGTATACTGAGCAGTAATCCAAACACTTTCATTCTGGTAGACCCATTAGCTCCAAATATGTTTTAAAGGTGGATGCTTGCCCATTGCCTTATTCCTTCTAACAAAGATAATGTTTGTTTGTTTTTTCTTAGCAAGGTCAGCATTGGACACAGCTACGCGTTGTAAGTATTTCTTCTTACTATTTTGCAGATGGTTTATTCTGGTTTTAAGCATATAAGAATTTATATCCAAATAATGGAGATGCTTCAGCTGAGAAAAACTGATTTAGAAACTACTTTTCAAAGTTATAAGGGTGCTATTTTATTGGACAGCTTAATATTCTTGGTAATTATTCATAATGGATATTTGGGTATTTTTTTAGTTTAGGTGTTGTAAGTACAGAAAGTGTGTAAAAGAATTCTTGGTTATTAAGGGGTATTATGATTAGCACACATTATGGTGGCGGGCACAGAGAAGGCAGTATGGCCCACAGAAGACAAGTAGTGACTCTGTAGAATCCTACTATGCTGATGGCCAGTGACTGTGATGGGGTATGTGGTGGGGACTTGATAATAGGGGGAGTCTAGTAACCACAATGTTGCTCATGTGAAACCTGAGCATAAGATTGTATATCAATAATACCTTAATAAAAAAATAAAAAAGAATTCCTGGTTAAAACTAGTACATGAGCAGATACTCAGTGATGCATTAGGGTTTTTTGTGGTCCTGGAGGTAACCGTTTGTTGGGCATATATAGCTAGAAATGCAAAGTAACAGTTCAGAACCTCCCCCTTCTGGATTTTAAAAATCACCTTAAAAATAATCAGGTGAAATGTGTTTATTACCCTTATGAAGATCATGTGACTTGATCCATTTATGTCAGTTATTAACTTGTTTCCTAGGAAGTCCTACTTTTTTGGGTCATTTTGAGGTTCCTTTGAAACCTTCAGGGGAAAAAAAAAATCCTAGCATGTATTTTAAGGTATTTATATCTTGGTGTTTTGCATAGTGCTCTTTGTGGTTCGAAATGTGAAACAAACTGATAGTAGAGTCTGTTAACATTTTTATTGTTAAATTTTTTTCACCCAAAGCTACAAAACCACCCAGATATAAATGTGGGATCTCAAAAGCTTGCCCTGAGAAGCATTTTGCTTTTAAAATGGCAAGTGGAGCAGCCAATGTTGTGGGACCCAAAATCTGCCTGGAAGACAACGTGTAAGTATTTATTATCAGTTTGAAAGTATACGGCGTGCTATTCAATTATAGCACATTGAATCTGAATTTAGTGCATCTTTTGAAAATGTATTGGGCATACTTTTTCTAAAGAAAAGTGATTTCAGTTTTCATTATACAGTGTTCTCTTCACACATTCAGGAAATCTTAAAATTCCTAAGTGTTGTGTTAGTGACATAGAGGCACAGCATATCCAGCTTTGTGTTTAGATAAGGAATTGCCTCTGACCAGATTCTCTAGATCTGTGCTCTCCTATCTGGTAGCCATAGACAATGTGGCCATTGAATTTTGAATCTTAAGTAAATAGGGGAAAAGTTAATCCATTTACATTAATTTAACTTTAAAGTTCAGTTCCTCAGGTACACTAGCTACATTTCAAGTGCTCGGTAGCCACACAGGGCTCATGCCTACCAGACTGAACAGGACAGAGAGCATTTCTGTCACTGCAAAAAGTCCTGTTGGACAGCACTGCCCTCAATAATGAATGCTTTATCTTGAAAACAGCATCTTTTATTTTAAGTGTTTGAATGCTGCTTGTTGAAGTGTGAGATATAAGCTCAAGTCTCTAGTGGCACAGAACCTCTTGCCACTAGCTGAATGCTTTCGCATATTGAGAGGCTTTACTAAGTACAGTTTCTAGGTTTTTCAGTCTCTTCTCTCAGTGTAAGCTACCACTTGTAACATAAAGTTGCTGCCTCTGACGTCAAAAGCCCTACTTTTAGTTGGTTGTTTTTAATCTGTGCTTGCCTGGAAAATTAGGTATGTGAACTTTTTTAAACTTCATGTAAGTAAATAAATATGCCACTAATTATGTAGAAAAAGAGAAGCAATTTTACAGATGGGAGGAAACTAGACATTTTCTCCCAGGGTTTTGTGTATATAAAGCTCTTAAATTTTTATGTTAACTGCCTTTTTCAATTAGCCAAGGGTGGGTTACTTAGCCTCTTAGAAATACTTTTCTTTTAAAATTGGAGGCCTGAGCCAGGTGTTTTTTAAGGTCCCTGCTCATTTCCTTTCTTTTCCTTCATGCTATTGATAATCCATTGTTAATCTCTTCTGATTTCTTATAATAGTCTTGTTTTACTGAATTATGCAATAAGGCACTTGGATTTTAGAAGTTTGTAGACTTTACATTAAATACCCTTCCCATTACCTTAGATGTTCCCATTCCCCTTTTTTGCCTTGTTTGGCTAAAGAGGTCTCAAGTGTGATTCTGAAGAACAGGTAGAAAGTTCTCTTAGAATGACTAACCTATGGTAGATTGATTGTCTTTGGAGACCTCCTCTGCTCTCTTGAAGCATGTTAGTTTTAATGCAAAGAAGAGATCAAATGTTTTTACTAGCTGGTTTTCTGTACACAGATTATATAAGTCAAAAGGAAAAATGTCTATATATAGGCAATGGAGTCTGGGAGAATAAATCCTGGGCTCACAGCCAGGGGATTTGGCTGTCATGGTAGGCATGTCATGTAGAATTTGCATTTCGGTTTCTTTAACTGTAAAATTGAGGCAGGCCACCCATCCATCTTATTTCAGAAATCATTCTGCCATTCCCATGAGGGATTAAATAATTGATGAGATTTTATAGCTATGCTTTAGGCCCTGAAATCTGGTCCCTGAAGGAGGCCTAGAGATCCCTAGTGGAGAAACTGCAGGAACAATTCACAGTCCAATACTTTTTCCAATGCATTCTGTTTTGGTATTGAAGCTTTTTCCAACAGAAAATGTAAGAGAAGAGTCTTGGTTTTCTTAGCATCACTTATTTATTCAACATGTAGTTATTGAGTATGATCCCTGCTCTCATGGAACTTACAGTCTAGTAGGGGAGGCAGATACTTAAGAAGTAAATGCAAATAAATAATTGCAAATTGTAGTACAAGTTGTATATAGCAGAGGGTGTGGCGAATCCTGGTGGGGTGAGTGACATGAGGTTGAGGCATCCAACTTTAGGTTGAGTGGCTCAAGGAATAGTTTCTCTCAGATAGTGATGTTTAGTCTGAGAATTAAAGAAAGGGAAGAATATTCTAGACAGAAGGAATTGCATGTTAAAGTCCTTAAAGTGGGAAGAGCTGGCTAGAGAGACATGACTAAGGGGCAGGACAGTAAGAATATATAGGTCATGCAGGTAAAGAGGTGAGATCTTTCTCCAATTTTTGAGTTGAAGGTTTTCAAATTGCAGCCTGTCATGATAGAAAAAAATTATCTGCTGTGTAAAATGATGATAAAAGTAAAATAGAACATCGGAAGGCTGTTGCTAGTTGCCGCCACAGCTCTTGATACTGCTGCCTCCTTTGTTAGCAGACATGTTTGGTGTGTGTACTCACTAACATACGAAAGTAGAAATTACTTCTAGAATTACGAAAAATACTGAAGTAGAAATGCTAACACTGCCTGCATGTGCTCTGTGCATACTGACTCATTTTGGAGACTGCTGATCTGGGTCAGTGCTTCTCAGTGGGGGTGATTTTGCTCCCTCAGGAACATTTGTCAATGTCTGGGGACATCTGGGGATGTCACCGCTGGGGAGGTGCTGCTTGCAGAGGTTGGGGTGCTCTTAGCCATCGTACGACACTCTGGATGGCCCTTCCGCATGAATTGCCAGGAGCCTGGTCCCACCGTAGACTGAGTTTGAGAAATCCCAATGCGGACAAAATATGGTTACAATTAAGGTCATGGTCAAGGTTTTAAGGACAGATAGATTCAGTCAAAGATACATTATGGAGATGAAAATGGACTTCAGACTTCTCATTAGTCAAAAATAGAAAATCCTGGGTATAAACACAAGGTGCCACACAATACAGAAATTTTAGCTTCTTTTTCTTTTGAATTAGAGAACCGATAGAGTTTAGTTATGTTCAAGATAGAGCTTTTATTTTAGTCATATGCTCAGTTGATTTCAGTTTATATGAAGATATTAACAATAATATTTCACTTTTTATAATCTTTATGTTTGGTACAGGAATATATAGTAGACTGCTTTTAAAGGCTCTTTTTTTTAACCTTGAGGGACCAGATAGTATTTTCTGCTGTCAGGGTGGAAACCTAAAATCAAGGGTCATTACATAGGTACTTGCATAATCATTTAAAATGTAGACATTAAAAATGTAAATACCATTCTTAGCTCATTAGAATGTAAAAATCATTCTAAGCTGAATAGTAAAACAAAGAACAGCCAGCTGGCTATATTTGGCCCATAGGCTTTAGTTTGTTAAGCCCTGCTTTAAACTAATTTTAAGATTTAATAGTAGAGTATGTAGTAAGAATTTGAAACAAAATTAGATTCAAAGATGTTACAATCTATGTAGAGATTACATAATTATTTTTTTTAGATTTTTTACTTGGAGTAGTGGAGTGGTGGTGGGGAAACCTTCATATTCATGAAGGATAAAAGAAAATAGTTTACCTTGTGTTGCTATATTAAGAGTGCCTAACCTGTGCCCTGAAAACCTCAGTGGTTTGTCCTTTGCTGAGTGTACTTTCCCTGGCTGAACTCAAGTTCTTAAAACTTGGTAAGCTACCGCCCTCTGGTGGGAAGCGTGTGTCACAGCGCCTCTTTGTTGCTTTCCTGCGCTGAAAGACGCAGCAGTGTGCCCTGAGATGACCTCTCCTTGGAAAAGACACTGTGACATTTAATTACTGATCTGACATTGCTTCTTAAGATTAACGATGGAGTTCACTTAACTGTTATATTTCTGAAAGGAGCAAAGCAAATGCATTTTGAAACTTCCCTCCTGTGCAGATTTGTTTGGTCCTCGTATGGCCCACCCTTCATAACTAGTCTTGCACATCCATTAATAAAAGGCCTATGCTTCACTACATGTAAATTTTGACAGTGAAGGCAGACAATGCAACCAGTATGGGTAGATAAATAGTTATATTCTACTGTGATTTTTAAAACCAGATATTTGTGCTTTTCCTTTTTTAATGGACTTGCAGGGTTTTTTTGTTTTTTAAATAATTGCAGAAATCACAGGTGGTTGCAAAGACAGTAGAGAGCAGTTCATGTACTCTTCACCCAGATTTTCCAATGGTTATATCTTATGTAATTATAGTGTATCAGAACCAGGAAATTGTCATTGTTTGCACATAGTTCTGTGTCATTTTTACCGCCTGTGCAAATCCATGTAACCAGTATAGCAATTGAGATACAGAATTATTCCATGGCCACAGAGATCTCTCTCATACCACCCTGTTACAGTCATCCCCACCATTACAGACCCCGGGCTACCACTACTCTGCTTATTGTTTCTGTCATTTTTATGTTTTTTAAAATATTTTGTGAGTAGAATTATACATTATGAGACCATTTGAGATTGGCTTTTTTCACTCAGCATATGCCTTGAAATATTGGTGCCTATTAATAACTTGCTCCTTTTTATTGCTGAGTAATATTCTGTGGTGTGGGTGTGTTACAGTTCATTCATCACCTGTTTCTCAAACAAATCAGCTGTTTCCAGTTATTTGCTGTTATTGCCTATAAAACTGCTATGAGCAATCACAGATTTTTATGTGAACATATGCTTTTATTTCTGTGTGATAAATGAATGTTTAGTTTTGTAAGAAACTGCCAGACATCTTCCAGAGTACACCATTTTACATTGCCACCAGTAATGTGTGAGGGATCTAGTTTCTCTGTATACTTGCTGGCATTTGGTGACTTATAGCTGTTCTAACAGGTGTGTAGTGGTATCTCAGTTTTCTTCTCCTTATGGCTACTGAAGTTGAACATCTTTTTAATTTCAGTTTCTATATATTCATTGTTAGTATATAGACACACAACTGGTTTTTGTATGTTGGTCTTATATCTTGTAACTTTGCTGAATTTCTTCTCAGAGGTTATGTTTTCGTTTTTGTAGATTCCTTGGGACTATCCATATAGACAAACATAATCTGTAAATAAAGACAGTTCCATTTCTTCCTTTCCAGTCTTTTTACTAATGTTTTTTTAAGGATTTATGCCTGCATATTAATAAGACATACACAT